TATATGCCATTCGGGCGATAGCATTGGTTGGTGAGTCGTGAGAAGTTTCCTGCTCTCGGCGTGGCTCGTGCAGCAAACTTCACACTCCTCACGAACCGCCGCTTATCGCCCTCATGGCATAATGTACTATTGCTGCGTACTTCGATAGTTTCTATTATCTTTGGAAATAATATACGTGTCAAGAATCATCCAATTTTTGAGAGGAATGTTAAACTTTTTTTCAAAACTCTGTCATTTTGTGAAATCATGTTTTTTACGATTTTGTGTTATTGTATGGGCAATACCTTTTAGTTTAATAGTTTTTTTTTTAACAGCAGACACTGTGGAAGTCACAATCACTGTAGCAGTGGAGGAGTACTCTATTCATTCAAAGTCATTAAAATGTTTGATTTATGATTTTTGAATTGAATTTATAGTAGCCATTTTTTCATGTTCTCCCATGAAAGAACTGATTTCTTTATAAAACATTACAAATTGTGTTAAAAAATTTTTATTTACACTTAGCTTTTTTTATGTCAAAAACATTGCCACTTTGAAACGTTCACGTCGAAATCATGAGCACTGGACCAGAATCTCACGTTGACTGACACATAATCGAGACTTATTATCCTATGGAACTTATTTTCCAGAGATATAGCATGTAGGGCAGAATCTCAGTTTGAGATATTACGGTAATATATCCATCAGTGTATCATAAATGTTCAAGTGAGTCCTGGCGATAACAGGAGCAACTTCGAGATCAATGAAAGAACTGCAAAGAAGGGTGCAAATCTCATCTTATATTTATAAGGATTAAGGATCTGATAAGGGTCAAGAAAACGTACGATTTTTTCATGGGAATCCCATATAAGTCATTTTAGTAGGTGTTTATCAAGGTTATGGATCAAGTTTACGGTGAAATTGACTCCATTGTTATTAATTAAATAATTTTTTCATACCGAACGTGCGTGTAATGCAGCTGATTTTAATTTAGCATCGACATTATCTAACCCACATTTCATTCCTTTGACCTATGACATTTCTTGCAATATTCAATCATTTTATTCAACAAGAAACCAGTGCTGGGAGAGAATAAATAATCAGATCACACTTGAAAATGACAGGGTGATCGATCCCCCGGGAGATTTAGTTACTGATGATTTGACATTTCTCACTGAAGCAATCATGAGTGTTTCCCTAAATAAAAAAAATTGGCACCAAAGGAACGAAATTATTTGATTTTCTGAAAATCTGGTGCTACTGGATGGAAAAAACAATCTTACATAATGCCTAACAGAAATAGCTCTGCTGCCGGAATTCGAGAATTTTTAAAATAACAATGTGTCGTCTACTCTAGAGGTAATTTAATTACTGTACGCTTGTATAAACTAGTTACATTAACCATTACAGGCAATTATTAAGTTCCCTGGAAGAAAAAGACAAAAAAGAGACACGAACAAAAGACTGCAAGAAATTAACAGAAGATCAAGTTCATCAGTCCATTAGTTTTGCCCCATTAGATAATTTGTATTTACCACTTAAACTTAATGATATGAAAAAATCCAATGAAAATTCCCAACTATACTCAATGACGTTAATGTTATATTATCTTTTCCTGATTTGTTAATTACAGGTCGCACTAATTCATCGACGGTAATGAAGCAAGACATGTTGCAGGATTTGAGAATTATTATTATATTTCTTTGCCGAAAACACAAGTCAAGAATTGCCAAGATAGTGTTTTTTTGATTTTTCAGAATGGAAGCTATATTATTATGGCCAATCCATGGGAATTAATCAGCAACCCCAGGGAAATAGTCCCTGTAGGTGAAACAACTTTTCTTGAAGGGCCTCTGCTACTTACTCAGGAAAAAATATATCATTTTTTTCATCACTATGTGCTGAAAAGTAAGTTTTGAAACTCGCTCCGCTTCGCTTCGCATGCCTAAAAAGTGACTTTTCCGCACATTGTGAAGAAAAACATTGTTGGCAACTCGTGCAGAGAGTTATTACAAAATATACTAGTTTTCTCAGTGGAGTATACGCAAATGTGGGAGGCATGGTGTTGGAAATAAAAAAGGTTAGAGACTGAAAATCCAACACAATTGCTGAGCCATATGTGACTGAATTCTCATTCAATAGAAGAACAAGTGCTGCGATAACAAGTGCCATCATACGGTATCTGCTGAACCAACTTTGGTAATTCGTACGAACAAAATGCATCGCCTCCGCGAAAAGATACTCCGAGGTTTTCACTAAACCAATTGCTAAAGCAATTTTTAGCCATTATTTTATCTGATTTTCCTCTTATTCTTCATTGATGAGTTCATATTATTTCTGTAATATCTCAATAACGACTTGACTCATTTCAATAATTTTTTTTTCAATATATTGCCATCGATATTCTCTATCTCAGATAATCCAAACACAGATACCCGTTCCGATAAACTTTTCGAGATATTTAGGTTTTTGTATTTCTGCTGAAGAATCGGCGATAGCGGTCGTAAATATTGATATATATTTTTTATATTTGAAATGTGGTCCAGAATTGTCTGTTGCGATAACACGCGCTTCTATGAGATCGCGA